GCTTTCTTACTCTCTGATAAAGTTCATCCTCTAAAACTTTGCTTTTTTATATCATATCAGTAAAAAGGGAAAACATTCCACTCTTGGCTGAAAGAACGAAGTCACGTTGATACAGAAAAGCAACCTTGATGCCCCACACAAGTGTGGAGCCTCACGTAAGGGGCTCTGGACACAACATTGCACATCTGTCTTAACTTGGTGGTTCCCAGAGAAACAGGACCTGGTCCACCTCGCAGTCCAGACCTGTTGTTGACCCCTATCCACACAGCCCTGCTTTGCTTTGAGCCTATCAAAACACTGCTTCGTTTAATTTTCACTACATACCCCCCTTCCTCCAAATTGGTAACCACTCTTTTTTCTTTTGTTTGGTGCGATGCTGCCATGCAGTCGCCTCAGTGGAAAGAGGCAAGAAACCTGATTTTGTCAGACAAGCCAGGTTTGTCCTGGTTCTCTTGTGCTGACTGGTCTAGAGCAGGGCTAAGAAGAAGAAAGGGTCTGTCAAGCCCCACGGAACACTGGCAACCACTGCTAACCCCTCAGAAACCCAAAATAAGCTTGAGGGTCTCATGTGAACAAATGTGTCCTTTTCCTCCTGGGGACTGTGAACTTGAGAAAGGGGACTCATGGCTACCTCACTGCTTTTACAAGACTCTGTCCAATATAAAGTCTGGTAAATTGTAAATCATTTATAATTCTCCATTTGCTCAACCACCATTTCTTATGTGCCCACTGAGTCCACAGCACTTTTCTGGGCTGTATGGTTGGGATATTGAGTAGGAGAGACAGCCGCCACCTTGAGGGACCAATGATAGCCACAAGGTACCATGTGTCACCATCATAGGGGACAACTCCTAAGAAGCATGTCAAATGAATGATCACAAAAGTGGTACGAGTGTCCAGTGATGAAGCAAGGGGAGGTGAGGCAGGGAGAGTTTAGCCTTTGCCCCACAGTCATCATTTATTCAGAAGTCTGATCTGCCTTTGTGCAAATTCTGTCAAGGATTATTTGTTTCCTAACCCACCTGCTCAACTGGTCTTCTGAATCTCTAAGACTGAACTGTTTGTTCAGAAAGATGCTGAACGGTCATTTCTCCAAGCTATTTTTCTAGCCCACCGAGGCCACAAATCTGCATCACTTGTAGTAAGAAAGGGGGAAACCGCAGATGTGGTGAGCTGGAGGAACCTCAGGGCACTTCCTTGATGAATATTTAGACAGTTTTCCTCTTGTTACGAAAATTATGGCAATCTGTTCCCCAGCATGCGTTCTAAATGAATTTCAGTATCATAAAAGCTTTATTGGGGGAGGGGAGATGATGTTAGTTGTTCAAATAAATCCTGATCAGCTGAGTTTCCCTTTCACTCAAAAAATACCAATTCATGTGAATATTTTTTGACTCATCATAACTCTTAATCCTGATGTGAGTTTGTAGTTCAGCATGCTAAGGAGACACTGGTGCAGGAAGGAGCTTCTCTCCTCTGTACTGCTGGGCAATTTTTGACGTAGGTTTGTCTTCCAACCAGAAGGAAGGAGGCTGTGCTACTCTCAAGTTCAGGGTCATTTCTAGTAGCTGGTCAGCACTCTGTGTCCTTCCATCTGATGTTGCATCAAAATCCAGAAGCAGCAAAATGTTCCAAACAGAAGGGGCTTTTTAGTGGACTAGGGTGCCTCACGGAAATCATGGGCGAAATTACCCCTGAATTTGCTCTTTACAATGAAAGTCAGAGAGTATGTGAGGGGTGAGATTAAACTGCAGAAATTCTTTCTCTGGGTCCATGAAAAATGTCTGTCAATAAACATCCCTCAAGCCTTCACCGACAGTGATAATTCTCCTTCCTAACCTACTGCCCACTTAACACGCAAATTTACACCTATGCCCAGTGACATCATCTCACGTTCCTACTGAATTGTTCATATCTTCCTTTTGTCTCTCCCATCTGGCTGCTCAATTCTTTGAATGCAGAAACCTTTCACTCTCAATAGTAAAGTTTTTGGAATTGAATCAGAGGATGAAGATGCTGGGAGAAACCTCAGGGGTTCTCTCTAGTAAAACCCTCTGACTTCACAGACAATACACACAATGAAGAGCGAGACCAGAGAAATAAAATTACTTGCCCAACGTCACACAGCTAGCTAATAACAGAGCTGGTCCCAGAATCCGTGCTTCCTGACTCTCGGCCAAAACATACCACCCAGCCTCTGTAAAACCACTCTTCATTAACAACCCATCCCCCCACTGTGATGCTTCCAGAGAGCCAAGTGGATGGACACAGTTAATAGATACTTGTAGGACTGAACAAGCCTTGGGTTAGAGCCAGGATCCTCCCACATGCTTAAGGGAGCTGAGCATTCAGAACTGTGTTAACATCCAGGCCCAGGAAGCCCATCTTAGATCCCAGAATTACTCTAAACTACGCTGTCCAGTATGGTAGCCACGCGGTACATGTGGCTATTGAGCACTTGAAATGTGGTTACTCCAAGTTGAAATGTGCCATACATGTAAAATACATACCGGATTGTGAAAGCTCATATGAAAATATCTCATTTAATAATTTTATATGGGTTACATGTTGAAATAATAATATTTGGAAATATTGAGTTAAATAAAATATATTTAAATTAAGTTCACCTGTTTCTTTTCTTTTTTTAAATGTGGCTACTAGAAAATGTAAAATCACCTATGTGGCTCACATCTTATGAGCATATTATTCTTATTGGCCAGCACCGCTCTAAAACACAGCTAACCTCCCCCACCCACCCACTTAATCCTTCCAAAAAGACTTGAGCCTCCTGTCTGCAGATATTGCAGAGAGTGACCAGAAAGCATCAAGGACATGTTCCTACCCTAAGGCCAGTTCTTGAGATCTGAGGATTAGTCACTTAACCATGCCCTGCAGACCATCTGTTTTGTGCCACATCCTTACAAGTGACATGCAGGTCCCTCTTGTTCAGCCTCCCCCAAAAGCAACCCATAAGTCACCCAAGGTCCTATTTACTCTGGACAGAGTTAAACAATCTAGAGGGAATTTCTACTTCACTTCTATTGAAACTCTTCTCCATTAAAAAAATTCTCTTCTTCTCAGATTGTTACTTCTGCAAACACCAGTCAGGTTGGTGAAGGCCACTGGTTGTCACATGTCACGAGGACAGCCTGTCCTAGGGACCACATTCCAATTACCTTTGAGGTTTGATGTGTCTTTCCCTTTTCTTTCTCCTGTCTATTCCCCACTGTCCAAGCAACTTTCCTAATAACCTTGATCATTTATAAATTTGTTAATAGCCATAACTACAGAAGCAGTTGAATGGAAAGAAGGACGGGCTACTGTCCAACAAGAGAAATGTTTTCAGAAATGGTTTAACTTTCAATTCTTGAAAAAAAATTTTCAGGACTCTTCAAGAATCTTGAAGATTTTAGTGCCTAAAGGTAGTGAGCATGATAAGCCTATAACCTGCTTGAATAAATGCAGGGCCACTTTCTCCTTAGGAATATTTATAAGCTCAGAACAGTGGTTCTCAAAGTGTAGGCCCTAGAACAGGAGCAGCAGCACCTGGGAATTTGTTAGAAAAGCAAATTTTCAGGTCTCACCCCAGACCTACTGACGCAGAAATTCTGGAGGTAGGGCCCAGCAATCTGGAGGGTGGGGACCACTTTCCAGGTAATTCTGAGGCACACTCAAGTTTAAGAACCCCTGGATTGGGCATTAGACTAGTGGGCTTTCTGTCTATTATCTGGAGTCTGATTGTACCATTAACAGATGGAAGCCATGTAGACTTCATCTGAACCTTAAATGTTAAGACAGAGCTCTAGCATCTGCATCTATATCATCCATGAATTTATTTCTCTAAACCATCACGTTTGGCTTGGTAAGTCCCATAAATGCATTTTCTTATGTCTCAGACTATACCCCTTATTTGCTCTCAAAACTATCTGTTTTGCACTGCAAATGGAGCTCCTGGTATATTATTCTGCAATTAAAATAATAAATCTATGCTTGTTCTTATAGTAATCATAATTATATATGTATGATATCTCTTCTCTTAATCATTGGCTTTCCAAACTAGATTAGTAGCCTGTCCACATTATCCTCATAAGGAAATTTGAAGCTAAAAAAAAACCAACAAAATAAAATGCCTAGAAGGCATTGAACTACTCGTTTCTGACTAGAGCACATTCAGCATGCCCCAGTTATTGGAGGAATGGCTAAAAGAAATGGAGAGTTGCCAAATTTAGCAAATACAAATACAGGATGCCCAGCTACATGTGAATTTCAGATAAACAACAAATACTGCTTGGGACATACTTATAACCAAAAATTATTCATTGTTTACCTGAAATTCAAATGTAACTTGGAATCCTGTATTTTATCTGGCAACTCTAGAATTGGGAACACTGACTTTTGGGAAGGTCTAGGGGAGACCACTGTGCTCAAATACTTAAAGGGTTGTTGGGAGAAAAACGGGCCAATATCAATATAGACCTAGAGACTAGAACCAGTGGGTAAAAATTACAGGAAGAGCATATCTGGCTCAACAGAAGAAATTTTTATCTAGAGGGATTCAAGCAGAGATGTGCTGAGGATGCTGGCAGCAAGTCAAGGTTTGGGAATGTTGGCTGAGTAGTTAGGCTAAAAGATAAGGCCTCTCTGACTTGAAGGCCTGTGAATCCCTAAATTGCTCAAATTGCCATTCTCTAGAATCTTTCTGCCTCCTGAACTATGCAAAGTGCTCTGGGTAGATATGGATAAACCCTGGCTCTGCACACGGGCCAGATACATAGGGCAGGAAAGAACCACGTTCCATAAAGGAGAAAACTCCCAAGAGTTCTGAATCTAACCTGTGCCCATCCTACTGGTAGGACTTCACGAAACACACTTGTGTGCATTTTTTATGATGTGTTTTAAAAAGCCACTAAGATTATATAAGGATTTTTTCAAAAGCATTTCAATTGTTGGAAAACACTTAACTGCTTTCAAATGTAAAATGGATAAATAAGGAAACTCACTCTTTGTTCTGCTGTCCATTTCTGTTTTTGACGAGTCTGGAGTTGCTGTAGTTGGAGGTAACTTCTTTCCAATAGTCTGAGGGGAAAAAAAGATGATTTTACTTAAAAAGATGATTCTCTCCATTAAGCAAAGGAATAAAATCAAGATTGGAATGGTGAAATGCTCACAACTGGTTCTAGAAATCACACATTTAAGTTTTGGCACTGTCCTGTGTATTGGCTGCCATTCCACAATGGCTCTGAACCTCAATGACAAACAAGTAAGAAAACCAGGTAAGAAGGGCTTTATCCTTGTAGGCACTCAGTACCTTTTCTTCTCATTCTTCCTTGATGTTCTTATTAAAAGGCTGATTATTTTCAGCAGAGAAAATAGGTACATTTCCCCTCATTTTATGAGAAGCTGACTAAACCTATGGAGGTATAGCACCTGGCCTAGAGGAGGTGCTCAAAAGTGCCTGCAGAGTGGAAGAATGGTAGTAAGAGGCAATGAACAAAAAGACAGAAAGGAGGAGGGGATAAAGGATGGAGGGCCAGAAGGACAGAGAGGCAGGTGGAAGGACAGGCAGAAGCCAGAGTGTCCAGGGCAACAGCGCCTTTCTGCATCTCCTTCTAGCCATTTGAAATTAAACCGTCCCCGCAGGGTCTGAGTACACATGCTCGTGTCCTCTAGGACAGGTCTATCTGCCCCAAAGGTAGAAGAAGGAGGGCTGGCAGCTCCCTATCCACCAGCCTTTTAACCCTCCAGGGCTTTGAGAAAAGCCAATGCCGCACTCTACGCGTCTATTTACTAGTTAAAAAAAACATTATGAGTTTGTTTTGAGTTCATTTTCTTTCATTCATTCAAAGCTATTTCTACTATCATTCATTATTTATGAGCCATCCATAGAAAAGACTGGATATTGTCTCTGACTAAAGATGTTCCCTAAAACACAGGCAACTCAGTGGCTCAAAGTAACAAAAACGAAAAAACAAGACAACAAACAAAACAATAGTTCCAAAGATGAGATCTGTTCTCACTCTTCTCCTTTGCCGCCACGTTTGTGTGATCATGATGAATGCCCTAGGAAAACGTCTATTGATACCAGGGAAACGGCTGTCAAAACCAAGTAGCTGGGTCAATCAACCTCCCCAACAATGAAGGGTTTCCCCAGTGAGAATTCCAGTCACTGGGAAAACCAAACATATCTTGCCCCTTGAACACATAAGAGGAATGAACTGAGGAATTCAAAAACTGGCACAGTGGAATGTTTCTTCAAATAAAACCAATTCACCACAGTTTTTAACTTGAAAAAAGTTCTTCATGCTTCAAATGTTGAAACTAACATTAAATATGAATAAATCACAGAAAGAGGATAAGATAAATCAAATCCTTAGCCCTTCATGAATTTTTAAAAACATTTGTGACAGAAAGCCTTTACATTTTACATGGTGACATTTTTATTTAGTGCCACAGGGCTTTCTATATTGGATAAAAAATGAAACTCAAAATATTATCCCGTCCCTCAACTGCTGCTAAGTACTCAAACTAAAAACATTTTGTGATTCCAAGGAAACATCAAGGAGGAAAAAAGCTTGTTGTTATTTGGCCATGAGGTCAAATTTGATGAAAAAGTGTTCTTAGAATTATCTTGAAAAATCAGGAATTGACAGTAAAAATAGATGCTCTCAAAGTGTCATTCATATTCCTGTTCACACTTCCAACAGCATCCCAGTCAATCTCTTTGTTTTCCCCTTTTGGGGACCAGAATAAAGCATCACTATTATTAACACGTTAGGAAGAAGAAAATAAAAACAATTAATACTTCAGTGATTACTGACAGTGGAGAGAGGAAATCAGAAAGCTACCATAGTCAACCCTATGCCCAATCCTGACTTTGTTTCCTTTCCTGAAAAAAATGAGACATCCAATGGTTTGGGGTTTAAACCAGATGCGAGAAACCTTCACAGGTTGTATATTTTTACAACTCCATCTTATTTGGTAAGAAAAGGAAGTGCTGCCCACCGTCTCCTGGTTTACCAGGCCATCCAAGCTAACAGACATTAAGCAAGGCCACTGGTTAAATACATTCACTTCCGTACAGAAAGCACAAGAAAGCAAAGCCTACTCTGTTCTTTTTCCTTGCTGTTTCAGAAAATACAGCACACTGGCCTCTATGTGGATCCCAGCCACAGGAGTGATGGTGAACCTGATACTGCACTCATCTTCTGGGGCTGCTAGACCTTAATTTCTTTCTTCTTCTTCTTCATAGGCTATGATTGAAGGTCTAGAGTCAGGCAAGTTCCTCCCCTCTCACCCTGGTCCTCAGGGTGTCCCAGAGATGGGAACTGTTCGGGTGTTTCTCTCTTCTCTAGGACCTAGACCTGGAGAAGTGTGGTCCCCAGACCAGTGGCACCAGCATCACCTGGGAACTTGTTAGTAAAGCAAATTCCCAGGCCCCGCCCCAGACTTTCTCAGTCAGAAACTCTGGGATGGTGCCTGGCAGTCTCTGTCTGAACACACCCTCCAGGGGATTCTGATGCACACTCAAGTTTGAGAACCACTGACCTAGATGTAGGAGGGATTCCATTAGTACTAACCAAATATCTTTTCTTGGATTAACAACTTGGGTGCCTATTCTCATACCTAGATAGATTATAAAACATCTCTTTCACTCTTCTTCTTCTCTTCTCTCTCTTCTTCTACCAAAAGCCTTCTACCTTCTCTATTCTTAACTGGCATAAGAATTTTGTCATTATTACTAAATGAGTCAGTTCAGAGAAGAACTAGGGTTTAGAAGAGCAGACAATGTGACAATATCACTGAGGGAAAAAGGGGGGGAGCACAGGTCGCCATGAGACCCTTCACCAAAGGAGTACTGAAAGGATGGATGGATGGACGGATGGACAAACAGATGGAAAGATGGCTTTGAACCAAAAATGAAAGACCATATCTAGCCAATCTGGGCTGGGACTACCTCGAAGGCCAAGCGGGCGGATCCCCATGACTGTACTAACCTTCAGGGAGAGCCAAGCCCTGCTGCTCCTTCATGGTGTTTCCCTTTCCTGGCATTCTAGGTGGCACATTTCTTCATCGTAGAAGACTGTCTCACACACTAAAGGACATTTAACACCCCTTGCTCCTGCCCACTAATAGCCGGTAGTGATCCTCTGTCATTGCCTCCACCCCAAACACCCCACACCTTTCCAAACACCCCATTTGAGAACCTCTATCCCCTGCCCTTCTTCTAAATACAAGAACAAAGACAAAGGGCTTCCAGCTTCTTCTACCTCAGAAAACATCTTTGGTCCATTGGGCTAAAAAGGAACAGAAACTCAACTTTTAAAGGGCACGCATCCTGAAAGCCATGCCTAGCTCCAGTACACTCATAGGTCATATATAATTGAAGGTCAGCTACGATGCAGGCCTAAGTGCACAGAAAAATCGGGGAATCATATCCCTACATCTCTCATCCACCTTGTAGGCGGCAAAGAAGGATGTTAGGCTTGCAGTGGCTCTGGAAGAGGATTCAGCATCTCCACTCACGGCTTCCTCAGCAGAGTTCAGAGTTCTTGCCCTCCTGGGTACCATATAGAAGATGGCTTATCCAGGACAAGCACGGGCCACACACTTAGGGGCTGTGTTGACACCGCTCAGGACACAGCTCTTTCACCTCCTAAGAGATCTGAAAACAGGCCCATTTTACCATATGCCTTCTGAAGGAACAGATTCTCAGGCTCTGCTCCATAGCTCAGCCCAACGTTCCCTCTCTTCTGTGCTGTGGCTAAAGACTTTCTAGCACCCACATCCACGTTACTCTGGGCTGCTTGTCCCCCAACTCAGAAGCTGCTGCTTGGCCTGGCAGTGGTGAACATATGGACAGCTGTATGGAGCTGAAATCTCTATAGACAGACTATTGGTATCGATCTACTTCAACACATAGTAATTGCCAGGTTGGTGTCAACTTCTGTCTCTCCTACCACATCCCAATCTCTATTTAAAATCTGATTTTTAAAAATAAATAACTCAAAAATTCATTCCTCTGAATATTTAATACCAGAAGTCCCTCTCCTGTTAGCTCTCTTGACACAAGTACTAAATAAAGTTGGGGGGGGGTGGGTTGTGTACAGTAGGAACATCATATATACTCCTAGTTGTATAAAATCTGATAATACAGCATCAGGACAGATAACGCCCATATGATTTCAGTTAGTGAAGCAAGTAATTTTTTTTTCTTTGCTTTGCCAAAATGAAGAAACTAATGCTTGTAAGAAAGACAATTACTGGATTCAAGTCCAGTGGAATCCAGTTCCTTAATGACTAATATATGTTTCTCTTTGTGACTGCTGAAGCATGAGACCAGGATCCTGCTCTAATCAAGCATAAAACCACTCTGACTTTCTTCTAATTCAGATGCAAACAGAAGCGAACTTTGAGTGTAAAAAAATTGTAATTATAGGACAATGCTAAGGAGAAGGAAGTTTAAGTCCCATCTCTGAAAGTCTCCTCTCTAAGAATACCACACACAACTCTTAAATCACAAAGGCAACCAGTTTCGATGGGTAGGGGGAGCAGGGAGAGAGCCCTCTGCATTCTAGTAGCTGGTGAAGCCCCTCTGTGGGTAGACCAGGCTTTCCAACGGCTATTCTAGAAGAGGGTGATCTTCTGAGAAGCTATACATAGACATTACTCAAGTGCTCACAGAAAGCCAAACACAAGAGATAACTTTTCAAATAGCTGGTAAAATACCAGATAAAAGATGACTCTTTGAAGGCATTCCTTTTACTACACTAGTATTAACAGTACTCCTTCCCTTTCTGTTCAGTACAGATTTATTAAGCACCCGTTCAACGTGAGGCAGGGAAGCAGGCGAAAGGCTGAAGGATACTGAACATCATTGTAAACACTGAATCAGCAATTCTTCAGGTTCTCCAGAGTGGTGTGTTGAGGGGTGCCCAATCATTCAGCATGGTCATCCCAAATCCTGGTCATATACAGGATGCAGAGAGATATAGGCTCCAGGAAACAGTGATGGGAAGAGGGACAAAACAGTATCTATACATGACCACACCCACAAACCTTCAGCTTTCATTTACCAC